GTAACTCCCACAATTCCCATGCTTTGTGGGAGGAGCCCAATGGGAGGTAATTGAATCATGGGAGCAGGTCTTTGCTGTGATGTTCTCATGACAGTAAGTATCACAAGGTCTGATGTTTATTATAAGGGGGAGTTTCCCTGCACAAGCTCTCCTCTCTTGTCTGCCACAATGGGAGATATGCCTCTCACCTTCCACCATGATTGTGAGGCCTCCCCAGCCACGTGGAAGTGTAAGTCCATTAAATCCCTTTCTTTTGTAAATGCCCAGTCTCAGGTATGTCTTTATCAGCAGCATGAAAACAGATTAATACGTCAAGTGAAAAATTCTTAGCCTGAGTTGCAAACAGCAACTGGATAGCCTTCCATTCAGTGAAGCAGCTGTCTCATTTCTGTGTAGCTGCATGAACATATCTAGAACACCAATGGTAATATTCTAGCATTCAGTGCAGTTCTCACACAAGGGACCTGAGTTTACTATCTACCTCACAATAAATAAAGGTAATTATACTCACAGTGATCACTACATAGGGTGTGAAACAAGACAGTCACAGTCACAAATGTTAGCAATAATTTCTCTGCTGGTTGACAAAGTTACGCACTAAAATAAGCTACAGACAAATCCCACATCATTTCTATCAAACTTTTCTAAGGCCACTAGTTTTGCGGCAATTGGAGCCTCAGAGAGCCTTAGATCACAGCCAAGAGCAGCATGTAAAGCAAATAACCCTTTAGGGATATGACACTCTACACGTTAGTTTTGTACTTTCAAAAGCTTATTGACTTAGGATGGAGACACTTAATATGTGATATCAATCCTTTCATGTGCATGTGATTATTTACTTGGCAAGCTATACTAATAACAAATTGCACCAAAATGCAAAGCTGTCTACACCAGCAGATTTTTATCCTAAGGTAAAAATAAACAAAAACATATGTAAAGAAATCATGTATAAAGCTACATTTATTAACAAATTCATTTCCTAATAAAACACCATCTGCAAGCAACCCTCAGTTTCCACTTGATATAAATAAGCCTTTTACTGTTTTCAGATGAAGTTCCCAGAAAATTCTTCTAAACCCAACTGCGGAACACATCAGCAATTTGTTGTTGTTATTGCCAGGAATGTTAATAAACTCTATGACATGAAGTTTTGTTTGTTTGTTTATTTATTTATTTATTTATTTTTGAGACAGAGTCTAGCTTTGTCACCAGGCTGGAGTGCAGTGGCACAACCTTGGCTCACTGCAACCTCTGCCTCCCGAGTTCAAGCTATTCTCCTGCTTCAGCCTCCCGAGTAGCTGTGACTACAGGTGTGTGCCACCGTGGCCAGCTAATTTTTGTATTTTTAGTAGAGGCGGGGTTTCACCAAGTTGGCCAGGATGGTCTAGATCTCTTGACCTCATGATACACCCATCTCAACCTCCCAAAGTGCTGGGATTATAGGTGTGAGCCACTGCGCCCAACTAACATAAAGTTTTTAAACAAATTATTTGTTAAAATGACATGCCTCAATTGAAAAGTTGACCTTCTGCAATGAAGTTGGTTATACTTCTAATATCCTTATTGTTGATACAGAAATTCTAAGATGCATTGAAATGTTTCAATGATAAAAAATAAAAATCTCCCCACTATATACTCAATATGTGGACACATGAACAAACATGGGCACACACACTTGCACATCACATTTCAGTAATAGTTTGTGATCTCTCAATTCATAAATATAATGTTATCTGCTTATTTGTATATCTTAGAATGCTATCTGTTTTCTGGCCATTCAACCCATCCCGCTTCACCCTCCCCACAAATGCACTTCACTAACACTCATCAACCTCCTGTCACCAGAGCCAGGGAAAAAGTTGAGAATGCTCAAAGAAATACTGTGATTGCTCCACGGATAAGTCTTTTTGGTAATAACTTAGAGTAATGTTACCACTCATCAAAGACAGCTACACTGACTAGGGACCCGGAACCCAATGTCTGAAACTTCTTGGCGCCAGGAACTGGGGCTGAATTCTAATGGTAAGTGTTTTTGAAAAGTGCATCAAGATTTAATAGGGTGAATTTTCAGACTTGGTCAGAGTTTTAGCCACATAAATTCCATTAGGTTCAAAGCTCTGTAATGCTCCACCCTGTCTGTATTTATGCCGGCATTTTAATCTGCACCCTTCTAAGCTCTCTTGGTGGGCTGTGTAACCTCTCTTTTCTTTTCCTCCTATTTTTGATTCTCACATTACCCTTGGGTTCTGTATATGTCTCTGAGTTTAGGGCTTTAAGCTTGTCTCTACTCTTCTGTCAAATCGTTCCTTGAAACCCATATTTTAAAATAAGTACTTTCTTCACTGATCTCCTATCATGACTTTATTGCACCTGGCCCGTTTTTCATACAGAGCTCTACCAAGGTCTGTTTGTACCATCACCAAAGGCTGCATGCACATAGGCTGCTCCTGGGATAATCGTCTCCAGAGCTGATGACAGCTCAGACTGTCTTTGAAAATGTACCTCTCATTGGTGTGCCAGAGCACTGAGTGAAAGCATGAAGTCATTTCTGAATCTGGGTCAGCCATTTTGTGAATGTATAAGAGAGAGAATTACAACAGAGTGGATTTTGCTGGGTCTGTGATTTGTCACTCTACTAATGAGGTATGGAAACAGGCTGACAGACTGCTTTATGGGGCAGTGCTATTTCCAGATCAGTTCTGGCTATGTAAGGAGGGAACAGCAGCAGATACCAGGGCAAAAGAAGAAACAAGAATGATATACCCATCTCCCATTATACTTCTACTTTTTCAAAGCAGATCTCTTTTTTGGTTTTTAAGTATTAAAGCCTGTATTAAGTCATTCCACAGAAATTATGGCTAGGATTTCTCAATGACAGAACAGGAGCAGAGCAGAGTAAGAAACATGCAGACAGAATACAACTGAAAAAGATATAACTCATGATGGATTTCCTAGCAATTGTTTACATTTGTGCATGTTATTTGATTAACATTGTGGCTTAGAAAATGTAATCAAGTAACCATTTTTGAAATTCATTCATTCAACAAACATTTATTGAATATCTACTATGTGCTAAGTATTTGCTAGGCGCTTGGGATACAGAGAGAATGAGGTATTCCTTGCTCTTAGTGAGCTCACAGTCTAGTAGAGGAGATAGAAACATAACCAAATCACTACAATACAATGCAGTCGGTGCCAATCAGGGCATATAGAAGTTGCTAGAGGAGCCGAGACAAAGGGGTTTTTAATTAAGCTGAGGGGATCAGGGAAGCTTTCACAGAGAAGGTGACAACTGACCAGACCTGAAGAAGAAACAGGACTTCACCAGGAAGACAAAGGAGGGTGGGGAAAGACATTCTAGGCTGAGGGGACAGCAGGCCAAAAAGCAAGGAAGCGTGATAAAGCATGACATGACAGGGAACCACAGGTAGTCCCATATGGCTGGGATTTCAACTGCACATGAAGAAGTAGTGAAATATGTAGCCAAAAAAGGAGTATGAAAATAAAGGGTGAAGAGCCTTGTATGTGTGACTAAGAAATTTGGACTTTTCCCTGGAAGTGATGAGAAGGCACTGAAGAATCAAAAGCAGGGAGTGACATGGTCAGATCTGCCTGTTAGATGAGCCTGCATGGATGGTATGGAAGAGAGGTGAGACTAGAGGGAAGGAGACCAGTCAAGAGGGGCTCTCACAGCAGTCCACTGAAGGCTCACAGGTGGTTCAAAGGCAGTGGGGGTAGAGGTGACAGACTAGAGAGATACTTAAGAGGAAGCTTGACAAGACTTGATGAATGATGATACAAAAAGCAAAACTGCCTCAGAAATGAAACAATATTAAAAACATACATTCAGAAAATATAGTCAACAGCCTCAGGCCTCCCTCCCTTTATGTTCCCATTGTCCTCTGAAATCACCGCATCTGCTGAGGATAAATAAAGGAAGGAGAGCCAGGGGGCTTATAGGGTCACACTTCTCTAACTCAGATAACACTGACTTGGAGTCTGTAACCATTCAGACAGACTGCCTGTCACTCCTATTGAGTAAGAATTTAACCCTACTTTCTTCCTCTGTGTTATTTCAAGCCTTTAGTCACCAGTGACAGGAATCCAATCTAAAGGCAGTGGCTTCTTCCAATCAAGACCTTGAGGTGCAGTAGACAGCCGCTTACATAGTGGTGTCTGAGAGGCAGCACCATATATGCTCCCCACCCAGGGACCACAAGGCCTGGAATCCAATCATTAGCGATTCATTCCTCAGAAGAGGCTTTGGTGCCTCTGGACTTCTCTTTTACAAGGCAATGATTCCTGAGATGGGTAGGATATTTAGTCATTCTAAACCAGTGGGCTTTAGTTACTTGTAATGCCTTTTGCTTTGACGGAAAGGATGAAGGTAGAATAAAAGGGCTATGTAGATACCTGTGGAGGAAGGAGATGCAGAAGGGAAGATTGATGGATATGGAAGATAACATTAAGATCTTGCCAAGGAATAGCTCTGTAATCACTTAAGAAACTAAAATTCTTAAAGAATTCCTTCTATTTCAGGTTCCAGCAAACCACACTTCTACATTCTTCTACTTTAAGAAACTTCTGTATTTTAGGTTTAGAATATGCTATTGAGTAGTGAAGGCCTATAGTGACTCGCAGTCTTCTCATGAACCTCATACTACTTATGACCAATTATAATCTCAAATGTCATTAATTTGTACATAATATTACTACAATTGCATTTTATGAAACTCTTTTATAACTCCAACTTGTCAATCATTCAGTCAGACCAAACTTGTCTTTTGTCATTCCAAATTATGGAGATTTAACTGTGTTTGCAGCGTGTTAATCAGTTATGTCACAAGTGACAGAAGATCAAAATTCAGACTCTGAACTTGAAGAGTATCCTATACAGCTCAATAAGGTAAATGAGAGCTGCTTGTGAATACTGGATTATAGAGGTTAGAGCAGAGAAATTTAAAAAAGTGAAACCAAACAAAACTTTAAAAATTACTTACTTCACTTGTTTGGAGGATGGTGAACTTTGGCAGTTTAGTCTTTGAACTGGCTGCACTGGGTTTTCCATCCAAGAGTGTTCCAAATGACAGATTCCCAAAGCTGTTCTCAAATTCAATTGAAGGTTTCAGTGTTGGCGAGATGTCTGGTGCTTGGTCCTGGCCATCCATGGGTCTGACGTATGCAGTTGGCTTTTGCTGCCCCATGCTTGTTTTGCAGTAAAGCCCTGGTGGGAAGTTTTGAACTGAAAGGCCACTGCTAGGAGCTAATAAAGAGGAAGCCACTAGGGGAGACCCAGGTGCTTGCACGGCGAATTCAGATTTTTCTGGTGAATTGGATTGAAAGATTTCTTTGAAAGCATCTTCTCCACTAGACTTAGGGTTACTGTCTTCCTTTGCAGATGGGTTTGACTCTTCAACTTCTCCGATCTGGGGCTGTTCAGCTGGGTAGACAAAGAAGTCTTCCAGTTTGGCTTGAGACTGGTCCTGTGTCAAAGTCTGCATCTTGTTTGGCTGACCACTGGCCTGGCTTGCCAGTACAGTGCTAGGGTTATGACTATCACGTGACCACTCAGGTTTTGATTTTCTGTTGCTATGTATTAGAGTTGAATTCAGTATCACAACAGAAGGTGGAGGCATTGGTGCTGAAGGATGGGTATTATCCTGGTGAGGTGGAATTATTCTGTTCTTTTGTTCTGGAAAAAAGCTTGGTTCATTTTTGTTGATGGGATTCTGGGGTACAGAATTCTTTGGAATTCCCACTAGATGATTCTGATTAGAATGATTAGTTAGCAAATCCTTCATTTCATCATAGTTTCCAAGCGTGTTCTGGACTCGGTTGGCAAGTGCATCACCTTTGTTTGTCTAAAATAACAAAAAGATGGGGGTGGGAGGAGAGAGAATGAATAGGTTTGTGTTTCCTAATGTTAATGTTTCAAACAGATGCCCTAAGTAGACTACCATACGGGGTTCTTTGAAATTGTCCTGTTGCCATATAATTTCATGCTTTTCATGTGCTATGTAAGAAAAAAAAATCAATAACACTATTGAAAAAGCCTCTTGGAATGAGTGGGTATGACTAACATTTGTATACTCCCTAGCCAGTTCTTAAACATGTTCATTGATAAAAAGTTTTAAATTATATCATTTATTAATTTTATTAGAAAAAATAATTTATTCTGTGACAGATGAGCTGAATTGCTACATTCTACATTGTGATTAACAACTTTTGCTTACCAATCATTGGAGTTATAATGGAATGTTCTACCTATATAAATGTTTGACATATCAGCCTTTGTACCACATTATACCATGAAAAAGGCTTAGGCTATTGGATAAGAAAATCAGTTAAATTGTACTACCATGACTATGATAAGTTTAGAAAAGGAATGGAATTAAACAGCATCTAATTGAGCTAACTTATGACTAAAGTGAATCTGATTCCTTCTAATCAAAGAACTGTATGAATTACTAGTGTTTGCCTGTATATTCTGGAAAGACTGTGTTTACATATTGATGATTCACACTCATTTACTTTGAAATGGTGCAATTGTTTTCAACAGTGACTCAAACCCTTCTGTGTCTTTTCAATTATTAAGGAAAATTTATTCAAGTATTTAAACTGTTGTTTAAGTAAACCAAAACAAAGTTATCTTTTCAAAGTGATGTTAGCCTAATGTAGAGCAGTTAGAGAGGCAACTAAATCATTTTATGGACAATCAGTATACCAGCTACACCACCCCCTGTGGGATGTATTTGTTCCATTAAAATGGCTGTGATTGTTTTTAAAATAATTATGCTCCTGCATGGGTTTTTGTAATACAGAAAGCAAAGTTATCATACTAAAAAATGATGGGTAGCTGTATACTTGGAAATGACTTTGATGCAAGCTCAGTTGTTCACCCCCAAAAGTGGCTTTCTTTATTCTCTTTATATGCCAAAGAGGTTATCAAAACAAGCTGCTGAATTCAGAAAGCCAAAGGACTTTTTTGTACCTAGGCTGTACTATCCTGGCCCAAGATGTTGCAATGATAGAAGGCTACCAGTATTCAAGGAGCCATCTGGGAAGTGGGCCACAAAAGATATCACCCTATGTGGCCTTCAAGTCCCAGAAGCCATGGGTACATTTTCAATGCACAGGAGGGAGTGACCATCTAACCATTGGTACACTCTCTGCTGAAGACAGTTGTTTGACATCTAAAATTTTTCACATGCCGTTAACACAGCCCAGTCTCCTGGTGTACACAGGGAGTATACCTATCCAGGGCTAGCATCTCAGTCTAAACTTAGGTTGTATGGCTGTGTGTTTTCCTCTTTATGTGAAGATGGGAGGATATGCAGATGGATAGAGGGCGAAGTGCCAGAAATGGGTGAAATCGTCTGGGGAAAGCAAACGTAGAAAGAGAAGGTAGGGATTCGCAGAGAACCCTGGGAAGCATCAACCTTTAAGAGACTGAGATAAGATGAGGAGCCAGCAAATGATATCAAGAAGGAACAATCAGAGAGAGAATCAAACCAGTAATCTTGGCCTCATTATCAGCACCATCTCCATATACCATATAAAGTATTTTATTCATACCGTGTATGTGAAACCATATGATACACTTCCAAAGAAACGAGGGCAATAGGAGAAATATAAATTTCAAAGATTAAGGAAAAGTATGCTAAACATATGCTAAGGGAGCTCTGTCAGGGACAGATATTTTTAGAAATCAAGTAACTACATGTCAGTTTTAGTTTGCTTATCCTCGAATCATATATTGCATCATATGCAACCTTAGTATTGAAGTAGTGATTAAACAATTAACATTCTCTATAATCCTCAGCTGAATAATGACTCTGTTTTCAAAAGTACATCTGAAAGATATATTAAAAGTTATAGATGGATAGAAGTCACTTTTACTTCCTAAAAGTCTCTAGGTTTGTCATTTTTAAAGGCAGGAATTACTTTTCAGCCCAGACAAGAATAAACCCTTTGTATATAGTGGTCTCCTTCAACTGAGTTGCACAATGAACCACATGGACAGCAGCCAAAACCAGGCTCCCTGTTCAATCTCTAAATTTAAAACAAAAAAAAAAAAATCATTGTGCTGAGGGTCCAACAAGAATCTGATGCAAGCTTTAAACATTTGTAGGTTATTTTGGCCTGTCAAACAGATTACCTCGTGGGTCAGATGTTTGCCTCATGAACAGTGATACCCGGCCATATTCAATGATCTGACCCAACAAGGGAAAACAATACCATTTCACTTCCCATTAGAATGCCTTCATTCTATTATCTGGCTTTCACAGAAACAGAGCTCTGCAAAATCAGAACCTTGTCCCTAGGTGTCATAGAGACCACTGTAATACCTCCATGCCCTGAGAAGTCATTGTAGTCTCCTTAAGGAAACATAATCAGGACTTAAGAACATGAAAGCTCATTTGCTTACAAGCAAGCTAGTCAAATTCCTGTTCTTATTTCAGGAGTAAATAAAAGAGGTTCATATTTTCCTCAGTAGGGAGAACCTTGCCTACCTTTGTAATATCTCTTCATTGACAATTACTTATAATGATCTGGGTTTCTGAAGCAAGCTTAGATATATTTTTCCATAGCTAGGTTACAAAAATATACTTGAAATTAAGAAAATTTCTAAACTGGCCAATGTCTAAAACTGTGTCTATGTGAACAAAATTAGAGGAAAATTGAAATTTCTCTCAACGAGTCTAGAAAATCAACCTTCTACTACACAGTGTATACTACACTTATGATAACTTTTCTTGAATAAAACTATGAGTTCTTAAAGGTCAGAGACTACATTTCACTTATTTTTATATACCCAAGATGTAGCACCATGTCTTGTGCTTATCAAATACTCAATAAATTTTTATAGAATTGAATAGGATAAATTAAAATTCATACCCTGTCTATATCAAAATAAAGAATTTGCAATGACTGGAGTCAAAGGTACATAATAGAAAGCAAAAATCAGGCTAACTTGGTTACTACAATTTAACATTAAATTAACTTTGAGTTTCCTGGTAGCTAAGGCAAAAAGGAAAAGCTCGTAGGTTACAGAATTATCTTTGATCGAAAGAAGCATAACCTAATTCATTAAACGAGACAAATGGTTGTCTGATAATAAAATGTGAAAAGGAATTCCTCTCATTGATATGTTTAGAAGAACAGTTGAGCAATGAAACAATTTTTGGGGCCTCATTTTCCAAGATGATGCAAATACGTCTTCATGTGGCTTTTTCTTATGATGACTAACTCAGTGAAAGCATGTCTGTATGTGGACTTAGAGGTCTAGGTTAATACAATCCAGGCGTGCAGCTTTCTTGCACACTAATGACACAGGAGTGAAGCTGTGATAACCTGGAGAAATGAGGGATGTCATCTCCCTTAGACTAGTTTCCTCATAGAGCAATTGTCTCAGAAGGACGTGTGACAGGAAATGTATAGCACACAGTTCAAGGTTGAGTTCACTGGTGATGCTTTCTGAGTTGCTGATTGAAGGAAGATCCATATGGTTTGCATAACAGATGTTCTGTGGCTACACGTAGGAATTATTATAGTAGTTCTTAAGACAGACACTGGTAAATTTGGGACCCTCCTGAGGCAGGGTTATGCACAGAGGACACATGGACACAGAGCCTCAAGAAGTTCACCATTCAACAATTGGCATATAATTAGCAGTCCAGTCCAGGTTGTCAGAGTAAGCACTCCACCTTCCCACCACTGGAGGTGGGTAATTGTCAATCAGTTTTTAAATTTCTCAAGATGGAGATACGAGAACCACTGGATAGAAAACCTAATGGGACCCGAAATACATTTATACACACCTACACAATGTACTCTCATTATACACCATAGCAACTTCGGATTCATACTAAATGTTCTTTTTCTCCCTCCTGAGTCTTAGTAATCCTATTAAGGAGCAAAATATTCTTGATAATCTTGATTGAACATTATAAACGTGACAAAAATGAAACTCAGCCATTTTAATCAATTATATGCTTCTTTCAATTATTCACTTCTTTACTTACCGGTCTAGATAATTGGTTGATTCTTTAAAGGTAACCTCTGCAGCCTTTATTTTCTAAGTAATCACAATTTCTCTATCATCAGGAAATGCATTTTCCAAGTATTTTCAGGCATAAATTACATGTCTGGTTTGTGGCTCATGACTAACAGCATTCCTTCATTTAAGTTTTTTCGCCTCTCATTACTTCAGGAAATGCAAACTTCCCTCAGTTTGTTTCTAATGCTATCTACAAATCAGTAGTATAATTTCATTGCATGCAAGACTAATGTGCTAGGAGGCTATTGTACCATATTATTTCTTTTTAATACAAGTAGCAAAATAATTTAAGTTTTGAAGCTCATTTTTTTCTTTTATTTTATTGTGGCCAACATGTGATTTAGTAATTCATTTTTTTCTAATTCTAGTATTTTTGCAGTTAATCTCTCTAAGCTCTAAGTTTCTATTTCCTTCTTTACTCTAATTATAATAACGATAATACCTGAATTTGTATAGCACCTTACAGATTTCAAAGCAAGGTTTCCCACATTATTTCATTTGATCCTTAGAACAACCATGTGAGTCAGCAGAGTAGGTCTGGCCTCCATCTGGCCTCTACCTCTATGTGCCCCAACACAAATGACCTTGGGTAGGCCACTTAATAATCCTCTCTGCACCTCAGTTTCCTCATTCCTATTGGGCTATAAAGAGTCATAGAATGTTACTATTCTTATTAATTACTATGATTCAATCCAGAAAGGAAAAAGAAAACCTATGGATCAGAGAAAGGGAGTTTCTTCTCCACTGTCATCCAGCAGGTAAGCTGATCAAGTCTTCTGACTTCCCGTCAGAGGATAAATA